GAAAGCATCCCAAGACTTTCTGTGAGCGCTGTACACACAAAAATGTGCAACATTGTTTTAGTAGAAGATTTTTGGATTTACTTATGTCATCTGCTTACTTAGATCTTAATGTTTTTCAGAATCTGTTGATTGGGGTTTATGTATCAGCTAATCTACTTGAAATGATCCAGAAATGATCTGGATGCTTTGTGTCAGTTATGCAGAGATGCTCCTGCCAGTTAACCAGACTGCATTTGAATTCTCACCCCACCTGTATTAAGACGAACTCACAGGTGGCCACACAACTGGCCACGTCGCCCACGTAGCATAGAATTAAAGAAATATGTTGAATGTCCCCCTGTCACTGTGATGATCTGGGAGGTTGTAATTGTCCGACTTCACTACTCACAATTTGGTGGAGTACCTCCAACTGCACCTAGCAGACATACATATGAGGTGATTGAGGTGTGGATTGATTCTGATCGTGTATGGACTGATCATCCCAATATTCAGATACGTTGTCTGTGATTCACCCATAATATTGTACCAAGGTCGAAACTGCATTAACATGTTTTTCGCTGATTACTTGTATAACTTGTTTCTCACAAAAAACTTCTCATGAGAGTAAAGATGCTTATTTTGTCCTAAAATTCTTGTCCTGGGATACTTATTGTGTTCAAGGACACGTTATTTTTACGGGATGCTAACTTTGTTCAAGGACGCTTACTTTGTTTTTCTGAGGGGTTTTCCTGGGAAGAATGGGGTGGTCTAACACGTTTTATACATCACCGATTGATATGTGGGATGCTTATCTCGTTCTCAGAAGATGTTGATCAAGGACACTTATCTAATTATTTTTGATTGAAACTGTATCTAGCAAACGGTGTATGTGGGATACTGATCTTATCCAAAGGAAGAGGGGAACGTGTGGATCATAGGAACTTGTCTTATTATTTTTAATTTAAGCCACAAGCAGCATTATCCGGACAAAATTGGAAATTTGAGAAAGCATTACCTGAGGGGAGGGGTGAGCCTGGCCAGCTCGTCTCCTGCCCGCACGTAGTGCCCGAAAATTTGTATAAAGGAAGGGGGAGATCCCAGTGTTGGTTGGAGCTCAGCCGTGGGATAGAGCGCACTTTCTCAGGACTCACGTGTTGGTCTCCTGCCAGGACTGAGACGGGCTCCCAGTCTAAGACTGAAGGTGGGTGATGATGGCACGTCCGAGTGTGAATAGCTTTGCAGTGTCTGTGTACTGATTCAATCATTATTGGGATTAATTATCATTGCATGAGAATCACAATAACAATAATATCAATTTGTACTTTCCATGTACGCATGTTTTATTGTCACTTTATATATATATATATATAAAATCAGTTGTATTAGCAGTTTTATTATTGTTTATGATATATATAATATTATTTGATATCACTTGTAATACGACGTCATTTCGCATTGCCTTTGATCCAACAACAATGTTCTCCAGATGTCCGCGCTGAATTCTGAATTCTATTATTGTTGTTAATGCAAGGTTATTTTGTAAGTGCCTGTTTGTTCCTTCGAGAGCCCTACATCCCCCTCACATCATCTTAAAACACCACCAGTGAAAGTGAGTAATCGCCACTGTCGACACACTACAGCTCACAACAACCAAATGTGTCCTCTGCATTTAACCCATATGTGACACAGCAGTGGGCTGCTATTATCAGGCGGGGAACAGGGCATGGGGGTGGCGCCCTGCTCAGGGTACCTAATGGTACCTTACTGGTCCGGAATTCAAACCCGAAAACGCAAACACGCTTCCGTAACCATTCGGCCACCGTTGCCCCCTTTTTAGAGTGAAATGGTATAAAACACAAACACTTTCCGTACTTAAAAAGTACGCCTGACTTTCTCACTAGAATTGCTGCAAGAACTTTAAAGAATATGCTGCCCATTTGATATTTGGAGGTGGGATGAGGTTTACGGGATTGCAGAACAAGGAGGTATGTAACTATGACGTGTTTCTGGGACCATTTATGCATATTTTTGCATTTTGTATTTGCAGCTCAAAAATGAGAAAGTCAATTGATTATTCAGCAGGAATTATCATAAAACTACCCAACACTTTTTTTAAGAAGGCCAGTTGTCTGAAATTTCTCTTTGGAATATATTTTGCTCATCATACATGAACTAAATTCCTCTGGAAATATTCCATAGTCTCTTGAAATGTAATGGAAACCTCACTGTGTCTGAAGACGAATAACCAGCATCTAAATTTTGTTTCCATTCTGGCTTGTAATCCTCTCACCCCCTTGCTCCCCCCCACCAGTTCCTGAGCAATAGGTCACAAATAACATGTGGTTCCTGTCGTTTGTGTCCTCGGCTAGAATAAAGAACGAGCAGCTGTGGCTCAGTGAGCCTTCAGAGACACGTGTGAAGTGGCATCGTGCGCAGAGGGATGCAAGGATCTGTGTGGTCCAAAGGTCATTTCAAGGGGTCATGTTTTTATTTCCCACGTTGTATTTTATTGTCAGAGATGCATAAGGCATCGCTGATTAACATGGCCTTTGGCCGTTATGGCCACCATCTTAATTATAGCCGGTTCCTTGTCAGTAAGGTACACAAATCTATTCCTGCGTATCGTCCAGCAATCCATCTTCCAGCCACTCATCCAGTGCAGGACTGCATGGAGCCTGGGGCTTATATAAGGAAGTATAGGGAGCAAGACAGGTATGGGATGCAGGTCCACTGCAGGGCGGGTGCACACACACACACACACACACACGTATTCATATCTTTATGGGGACTCACCATTCATTTCTGTGGGCGTAACTCCAATCCCAGCTATGACAACCTTAACTCCTTGGTCCCCACAATGTAATCTACACATAACACACACACATATTAAGATGCCAGTTCACCTGGCTGTATGTGTAGGATTTATTTAACAAATCAAAAAACAAAGGGATCGTGAGGAGTCAAAACAAAACTGGTAAAACACCATACCAAAGACAGGGAGCAACACTGGGAACAATAATACCAAAGACAGGGAGCAACACTGGGAACAACAATACCAAAGACAGGGAGCAACACTGGGAACAACAATAATACCAAAGACAGGGAGCAACACTGGGAACAACAATAATACCAAAGACAGGGAGCAACACTGGGAACAACAATAATACCAGAAACAGGGATCAACACTGGGAACAGCAATACTAAAGATAAGGAGGAACACAAATTAATTAACAGGCACTAAAGACTAGGAAACAGTAACAGACACTGAGGTCTGTCAGGCTAGAGGAGACTAGGAACACAAGTAAAACAGAACATAAACAAGGCATGGGCTCGGAAAGCATTAACAAGGACACAAAAGCAGAGAGATTAGCAAAACCAGACACCAAGGGAACAAAATAAAACCAAAATATTTATTCAAAGGTCAGGCAGGCCTCATAATCATGATGGAGAGATGTCTGGCTCTGAGATGCATTGAGTTACATGGCAGCCCAGGTAGGAGGGAGACACAGTAGGGGAACAGCAAATGGGATGGACAGAGGGAACTGCTGGACAGGGCTAGACGGGCACCAATCCTGACAGGATATGAACCTCCAACCCATGAGGTGGCACTTTCCCTGTGCTTCTTTAAGCTATTGGACCAAAGATTAAGGATTTTTATTTGACATTGTGCAAGTTACACAAGTACAACAAAACTTAGCTGCTGCATCCGTAATGACATAAATAACATTAAATAAGTATACTATGCAACATTAAAGAACAAACACAGTACATAAGAATATATATCTGTGGGAATTCACTGAGAAATATTTAATAAATAAGCTCTGTATATATTGCACTGTTCAGAAGTAACCATGTGAAATTTATGATGTATACAGATTTCAATGTATTGCACTGTGGTTTAAGGCAGTATTTCCCAACCCCGTCCACAGGGACCCACAGATGATCCATGGTTTTGGTCCTTCCCAGTTTTCTGCCAGACGATCCACATTTTTGCTCCCTCCCAGCACCCGATAGGGTGCAAAAATGTGTTCTGTCTGTGGTTCCCTGAGCACTGGATTGGGAAACACTGGGTTAGGGTGCCAGAATACAGTTATAGTTGAATTCTGAATATTGTACATTATTCAATGTTGCCCTGAGTGCTATTCCGTGCTGTTCATGCCTCTCCCATCGCATTCCTAAGGTGTTCACCATAGACTCATGGCTCATAACGGTACTAATAATGCTTTTAATCACTACTGTGCTGGGATTAATGCGGATCAAGGGATGCGATCATTTCTCATTGGGTTAAACCCGTAAGAGAGCTGTAATCACACCTACCGTGCGTTTTCCAGCCTTTTCCGTTCACAACTTCAGCTGGTGTACAGAACACCACTTCATAGTTGAAACTGTCTTTTATATTTCAAATAGAACGGCTTCCTTTTCATGCTTACATAATACCTGAAGTGCAACAGATTCCAGAGTGCACTAGATTCAGTCTTGCCAGAAGGACAATTTAAATAAGCCATATTTCTTGCATTCTGGGCCCTTCGATGAATTGAATTCCTAATTGGATCAGTAACAATATGTTCATTAATTGTAGGCTGCCCCAGTTTATATTAACGGTGCAGCCTGACAGTGAGATTTATCGGGCCTGTGTGCACAAATCTTGTTTCCCAGCTCAGTTGCTGCAAGGAGCCATTCATGCATTGCAAATAGCACTTATTCAGCTCTCAAGGTTGTTCAAGGTCGTCGCCTTTGTTGGTCAAAACAATAATGACAAACTGCTATACTTTAGAAAAGTGATAGATTAAACGTAAGAAGAAGCACATTAGACACAGATGCAATTCACAATGTGGAGGCAAGCAGTCTGTGAATGGTGCCTTTTCTCACCGGGATGCTGGCGACACGAGCACTGCGCAGGCGACACGAGCACTGCGCACTGCGCAGGCGTGATTCATGGCTGCCACCCCCCACAGCTCCCCGTTTTGGAGGCAAATATTTATCATGTGATTGAAAAATCAAATGATGGTGCAAATGGAGGGGAAACAAGGTAAATATGGGCCACACCCACAACTTTTCTATTTTAACAGTGACCAGAACATTCCGTGACAGCATCACAGTTATAGAGGTGAGTACTGAACGTCTGTGACCCATTCGGGGTAAGCAATTGGGAGTTGGATGGATGGCTTATTGAACAATACTAATAGCCTTTTAATGAATTATTTACCATTCAAGTATAGACTTTGAAGGGATTTACCTACAGAACTCTGGGATGCAGGATCTACTTACTGTGGCTCGAAAAGGGAGGACATTTATAACTCTTTACAAAGCCATGGACCTGGCTAGCTGCCTTCAGACACCACCAACAACACATCATGCAGAAAATTGTATGTACATGTGAAAATATGCTTAATATACACAAAGCATTGAAACGAGGTATACAGGGTCTGCAGGACTAAAACAGGCTACAAAATACGGAACAAGGAGTATGTTTTAGGGTCATCTGTACCTTACTAAATAATCAAAGCTAAAGAGGACTAATCTTTCCATACCCTAGGGCAAGTCCATGAAGCACAGAGGATACCATGAACTGGATGCACACGATCCTATACTCTGGAAAATTGAGAGATACCCATTTACTTAACTACGTTCCTTCGGACTGGAAGGGGGAGAACCTGGGAGAATTCAGCGCGGACATCTGGAGAACATGCAAACTCGGTACATACAGAGCCAAGGATGAGAAGAAAACTCTGAATCCCGGAGGTGTGATGTGACAGTGACACCCAGTGAGTCAGCACGTCGCCCACAGGTATTGTTATAAAAGTATCGTTAAGCACTGTACTTGGACCTAATATCCAGTGCTGTCTCTTAGTTCAAAATGTCCTAAATGCAGAGAGGGAGGGGAGCCAATAGAGCTGCTGTGGAAGCCAGGTGTCAGCCAATCAGAAAACACCAAGCCACGGTTAACATTATAGAGCATCTCCAAAAGCAGACGTAGCTTACTGACAGTGATGTCATTTCAGAGCTAAGACTGATGTTTTTCTGCATCTGCAAAGCATTTCCACAAAACTGCTCTGTGTTTTGAAGGTTCACCTTGGACTGGCTGCTGGGCAGGTGTGGGATGTTTATGTTTGCAAAGGCTGTGTGTTTTACACTGAGCCATTTCGGGCTCTGCCATTCCGTCCTTTCTGAACATACAGTGAGAGAGGTTCCTGCTCGCAGACAGCAGTTAGTGTCCTGGTCTTCTGCGTGTCCTCGCAAACCTTTGCTGCTTTTCCGTCTAAGTCTCTAAAGTTCACTCAGGTACCGTTTATCATTACGGTATAAGAAGGACATGTCAGGCATCTCATTTAAAGGCCCTGATCTACCTTGTATTGTTAATTTGTGAGCACATGTAAAGTCTTGAAAAATGTCAGATGGTACACGATTCATTATATTTCAGATTAAATGTACTTACTGGTTCATATGATGACCATGTGGATGTCTTTTGCACATTTATTTTAAGCTGTTCATGTTTTTCATTACTCTTATCTAATCAATGGTTGGGCTTTCCTTACATTTCCTTTCTTTGACCACTGCCTTTCACAAGAGTCCCTTTGGTAGAGTAGCATCTTGCGGACATTCATGCCCAAATTTTGCCAGCTGTAATAGCCTACAGCCGGTGCTGAACTGACATTTTTGCGGTGGGCCAATAAAGCATAGCTGTCAAGTCTTCCGTTTTGGCCGGGAAACTACCATATTTTACCCCTCTTTCCCGCCGTCCTCCCATATTAGTATTTTCCCGTAAATCTCCCGTATTATAATATCATTTAAAAAAAAAACCTCTGCCTCTCCAAACTGAGCTGTCAGTAGCCTCGTGAGACCTGCCACCTGCAGTAGTCTGCAGGTCATTTACAGCATTAACCAGGTCATAAATGCGGAGGTTAAAATGGCAATGCTGTGTGCCAAAAACAACGTTACTTTCACCTTCTGTGACGACTTCAACACGGATACAAAGTCTGCAACAAATCTGTATAATAAGTCATTAGCGAATGCCAGAGAGCCACATGAGTGAACAAGAGAAATTAAAAGAAAATGTGTAATGAAAATAAGATGTAAATGACAAGTGGTTATTTTAGATTTCTTGTACACCTGTCTTAAAATGTAAGGTATACTGGAGCTTGGTTGGGGTGGTGGGGCGGCTCGCGGTGGGTGCCGGAAAATTTCCCTTATTTTCAAATCCAAAACTTGACAGGTATGCAATAAAGATGTGGCCTCCTAAGTTTACTGTGAGAGACCCCACAGGCGATTTTTAATCCCAGGCCGCCCTCTGGTTCCAGCCCAATCTCTATGATCTTCACCAAGACCAGTGGTTAGATAACTGCTGTGTCCAAATTCAGGGGCTGCATCCTTCTAAGGCTGCATTCAAAGACCAAATGCGTCACAGCAGCGCAACAGGGCTGTCCCGTTTCGAAGGCCCCTTCACAGGCGTCACGACACTGCGACAGGGCTGTCCCGTTTCGAAGGCTCCTTCACAGGCGTCACGACACTGCGACAGGGCTGTCCCATTTCGAAGGCCCCTTCAGATGCAGTCTACAAATGCATCCTCCTTTTGCCAACACACTCCCAGATTGATTGATGTAAAGTGGGCGTGTCCCGGCTCGAGAATAGGGGCGGTGCTTTGTGACACAAAGGCAATGGCGGAAACAGCTGGTGATGCAAATAGGAAATAGGAAATTATCCATAGGCTAGCACGTCCCATTTGACAGCACTTTCTGTTGGACCTTTGAAGAATGCAGCCTACAAAGGCTACACTTTCGTAGACTTTCGTGTCCTGCGCCAGATGCAGCCCCTGAATTCAGGCACAGCCAGTGTGTGGATGGATGGCGATTTATTAATTTGCAGTGGTATTAATCGATTATTCTAAGAGTGACTTGTAGGGCCAGCAGTGGGTTATATACCCCGTTAGCAGAAAGTCACACTGCGCTGCAAGTCCTAAAGACGGCTTATTCCTGGGCATACAGATGGGGCGTGATGCCGCCTCAGTCTCAGGCTGCCAGCAGCCACACATCTGTCTGTGTGATGTCACTGCCGAGAGCCAAAGCGTGAAATGACTGACTCACTTCAGCGACGAGAGCCCACTGGGACGTCAGGCCGCAGTGAAAACCTTCCCCGGAATTTCCCCCTCCTTTCCCCCTAAGGCTACCTACGTTTCCATGACACCCCCATTTCTACAATGATAAGTCTATAATACTAACATTACTAATTAATGTCAAACTGAAAAATATCAACTGGGACTTAATCATGAGCTGGCAGGTATCTGGCACTTGAGTGATTTAGTCTTAATTTAAACTGTCTTAATGATTAGAAAAATTGTCAAAAACACATACCATTTTTCTTTACACAGAAATACATCCATCCATCCATTGTCCAACCCGCTTATCCTACTGGGTCGTGGGGGGTCCGGAGCCTATCCCGGAAGCAACGGGCACGAGGCAGGGAACAACCCTGGATGGGGGGCCAGCCCATCGCAGGGCACACTCACACACCAGGCACTCACACATGCACACCTAAGGGCAATTTAGCAATGTCAATTAGCCTCAGCATGTCTTTGGACTGTGGGGGGAAACCGGAGCACCCGGAGGAAACCCCACGACGACACGGGGAGAACATGCAAACTCCACACACATGTGACCCAGGCGGAGACTCAAACCCAGGTCCCAGAGGTGCGAGGCAACAGTGCTAACCACTGCACCACCATGCCACCCCTCACAGAAATACAGAATCATATAAATACTAAATATTGATTGGTATGGGTATAGTGGTACACAAAAGACACGGTTCGGCACAAACCTCAGATTTAGGTTCTGTGCAGCAGGAAAAACAAAATTTGCTTAGAGATCATTAATTATTGAAAATGCAAACACAAACACGATTAGGAACAGTTGCTTGTGTCACCGTGTCTGAGTAACAATCCGGTGTTCTCTACTACTGAGTATGGTTGCACGTCTGTAGTGATATTGTAGCTTGGTCTGACTTTCCTGGCAAAAGCCCCTTAAATGCCACGGAGAGACTTCCTTGCGGAGGCTGTTTCTGCCTTTCTCCAGTCGTACACACGCTCGGACGACGATGCCAGCAAAAAATAACAGAGCTTAGGCTTATCAACTACTCACTCTCCAGTGTTGGTGTAATTTATCAAGAAACCCAAATTTTCCCAATCCGCCGATTACCACCAACTGTAGCAAACTCAAAGCCACAATTAGCATGACGGTTTCTATGCTGAACAGCTACTTGTAAATTTAGGTTCTGCCCATGTCAGTAGATGTATCCATTTGTTTTATTGTGGGTACTGAGCCGAAAATGATGTACAAAACAGCAGACAATGAATACTGTACATGAACCGTTAGGGCCCTAATTTAATACCATTAACAGTTACAAACAAAAAAATGAATAAAATTGTGTGGGAATTCTCAGAATATCATTTGATGAATTTGGCCACAGACATTTTAAAACCAGCGGCTTTGGTGTGATGGATAACAGCTTTGAACTAATAAACAGCGACGTGGTAAAAAGTGAGGCATCATTCAGCGATGGGCTCCGCACACACAACCACAGCCTCTGTGTCGCCTAATTTCTCGTGCCAAACAGAGAGATCTGGGAAGACGTCCACCATCCCCCCTGCCTTTGCATCTGCTTCCTGCTGTCACTGGAGAAGCTGCAGGAAGCTGCACCCACCTGTCCGGATCACTGGCGTCTCGGTGAGCCTGAGAGGTGACCGCATATCAGAGATCAGAGGCCCAGTCAGATTCTTCTTAAATCGTGTCAACGTTTAAAAAAAATATATGTATATGGCCATTTTTTTAAAATACTTCTTTCCGTCCAGACCTGGTAGAGCCAGCTAACAGAATCCAGAAGGTGTACAGCGACAGGAACAGAAGCTGCAGCACTCCATGCGTTAAACTTCATGGTCTGCGGTCCTTTGGTGCAGCTCTTTGTAAATTTGTCGCGTTCTGTCAGCCTCATCGGATTCCTGTTTATGGACGGTATTTTCATTCTGTATGTGTTAGTTGTTTTTGTGTCGTCTCAGTGGAGAGGGGGTTTTCATAGTCTGGTTAATTTCACGGCAGCCCCCTGGTCAGGGTGAAGGACACCCCAGAAAGTGCAGGGCAGTCGCCCCCTGCTTGGTTACTGTCATTTTCACCCGCCCCCATTCCATTTTGCCGATTATACATACCAATCAGTGCTTTCACTTTACCTCAATCAGCTGAATGTGGCCTTTTATAATTATCACCCCGGAGATAGAATTCAACCTGGAAATAACTTCTTTAATTGCATTTAAAAAGCATTAAAAGTGCAGGTGTGTCTTCTTAGTCATCCCCCGCTTGGGCTCGGCTGCCGTGTGACGGGACCATTAAATGCGACAAGATGGGGAGCTGAGTGGCAGCCGGACCCCCTGCTGCTGCACTCGCAGGCTGCATGTGCTGAAGCCCAGGGAGTCTTTCTTGCAGGAACCTTGCGACCGAGTCTGCTATCCATCTTATCTGGATGTTTGAGTGACTGCTGTTACTGATCCAGCTATGGAATCATATTTTTGCTGTATTTGTACACAGGTGCGGGTACTAATTGGATATTATCATTGGGATGACATTTAATTAACTTCCTGAATTAATAGAGCACCTATTTTAGACTTTTAGTTGATCAAATAAGTAATGCCTACCCTGACAATTAAACAATTATGACATTGGTTCCTGTCACGCTGTGAGTACGTTGCCCGTGTATTCCATTCCAGCATGGCATCTTCTCTGTGCCCGTGTTGGCCAGCAGAGAGCTTCCCACACCTGAACAGCCTGGACCTGCCCTCCTCTGCTTCAGAAGAAAAGCCCAGCGTGCATGAGGTCACCACGATGACCACGCTGAGAAACCTGCTGAGCGCTCATGCAGCTCCTCTCAGGTTTGTGGCTGAACATCACCCCCCCCCCAATCTAAGTAAACACTTTCTGGGTGAGGGATTTGAATCTGACCCCTCCTCTGTGTGAAGTTTTCATGTTTACATTTATGGTACCACTTTAGATTAAGGCTCCATTTTGCAGCTGATAAATGGTTATTGTTCATAATTGTCTATTAATGATTTAGAATAGAATAGAATAGAATCTTTATTGTCATTGTAGCAATGAGACATTGTACAACGAAATTAAAGTGCAATTCTCCAGTGCAAAATAAAAACAGTCACTCTGAAAGAGCCTGAACGCTACTTTCTTTTGTACCTACAAATACAAAATTTACAAACTGTTACAACATAATTATAAAAAACCCAAAAAGAAAGTAACAACCTGATTATAAACCATTCATAATGTCACGTCGTGCAGGAGAAACGTGGGTTTATTCAGGGTACGATGCGCTCAGGAGCACGGAACAGCAAACAGAGACGATGTTACAACATTAAAACGCTAATGACCGGACTGGGGAGCCATTCACAGAAAAGCACTTAAATACATTTGACTAATTAAACACAAGTAGAAACAGCTGATAACAAGACGATTTCACACGAGGTGAATGAAGGGGCGTGGCACACACGAGGATGGGAACGATCGCTGCATGATACAAAAATGCTTTCTCGGAGTAGTGTTATTGTAAAGTGATACCACAATTACACGATTCATTAATGATGAACGAACATGAGATTAACATATAAGTACATTAATTAATAGAATATATAAGTAGTGGTACGTTCCCATGTCTTGTTTTACTTGAGCAAACCTACTTATTGGTTCAATAGAACTACAATTATCAGTATCTGGTAAATAGATAATGATTATGTACACTGAAAAAGTGTCAAAGATCTGCCCTGCTTTACTTGAAATACTCTAGTTCTCTGCTGTTGTATCCCAGCTATCAAATTATACTGCATAATGCGCTGCACCCTTCATGAAATACATGACATTTGCGTAACAGAATTACCTTCAAAGGTCGAACAGAACTGCCCTACAGCAGACTTTAGCCAATGAGATGCACAGTATGTAACATCTCATGCAGTCAGAAAGGATGGGCATTAGCACCACTGAAAAAAAATATTTCAGGAAATATATTTCAAAATGTTATTTTATGTAGAACAGATTATATATTTTACTTACTTACTGTATTAACTAAGTCTTAGTTACAAGCACATTACTGATTATGTACTTAGCAGTAAGTTGTTGAACTCAGTGTTCAAGTGTCATCAGTATACAATATCTTTATCTACGTATTAAATATTGGTAACTATTTAATAAGTAGGAATTTACCACTACTAACCTATTCTATTGATATCTAATGAATCACAATGCATCTTTTATCTTGAGGATCTGCTACATTTTTTCATGATTTGTACTACAGTAGTAACTGAGTTACTACTTAGGAAACAAGTGCAGCCAAGTTGATGCAACAGAGCATCAATGGAACCATACTAACCACTATATTAACAATACTAGCGTGTTCCCCCTATGTTTGTGTGGGTTCCTCTGGTTCCTCCCTGCAGTGCCATCCCGTTCCAGGTGTTCCTGGTCCTATGTTCCCACTAGCTGGATAGGCTCCAGGGCCTCCCTGTGCTGGAAGTGATTGGAAAATGGAAAACAGTACATTCAGCCTAATGAATGTCAAAGCTACACAGAGGAGGAAAAACATCACCTACGATTTCATTTGATTTTAGCAAAACCATGAAATAAAATTAATTAGTTTTCCAACTAATTTTTTGATATTATCTTGAGAAATTGCAGTATTCACATTTTTAGTCACAGCAACGGATTAATGAAATTTACAGCAGATTTTTCCAGTGGTCTTATACATTTGCTCTCATTTCATCTCATTTTCACACGGCTCTTCTTGTTCCATGGTCTCATTGTGGGGCTTCCCTAGATGTTCTCAAGTTAGCTGGGAAATATGTCCCCTGCAGCATGTCCTGAGACTTTCTGAGCTCTCGGCGCAGCGGGACTGGCCTGGGGGACCTTCCTCGGCCGCTTGAGATGCCCAAACTACCTCAGCCGGGCTCCTCTCAATCCGAAAGAGCAGTGGCTCTATTTTGAGGTCCCTGGAGATCTTCAACCTCCTCATCCTGTCTCAGCGAGTGAGTCCAGCATGCCAGGTCCCGGTCTGGGGTCGTGATGTAATCAGATGTTGGACAGAACGGGGAACACAAAGAGATAGAGGGTAATGGGACGTGAAGGACAATGACAGCAATGTGTTTTAGGTATATTGTGACAAATGGGGATACTGAGCACCAGGGTGAACTTCCGGAGCGACATCGGCCAAATTAATAAACAAAACAAGCGAGCTTACAAAGTGAACTCTAGCTAAGACGATCCCTAAACAAAAAGAAAAAATGAAGCCACAACCTAACTTCCTAGCTATCCACAAAAACAGAGACAAAGATTAAATAAATGGCAACCATTCCCTCCAACCTTTACACAAGACCATTTATAGAGCTCCTCAGCTGTGGAACGGTCTTCCACCGGATGTGCGGATTTCAGGCTCACTCTCAATATTCAAGTCTAGACTAAAAACACACCTGTTTAGTTTAGCTTATAGGGACACTAGTTCTAGCTCTAGCTAACTCCTCACTCCCAGTTATACCTATAGTGTGAGGTGTAGAGCTGGGTGGGGATCGGTGCCATTGGCTTTGGATAAACTGAGTTGACAGTGCTGTCACTCTAGCTTCACAATCGCTTGTGGGATTGGAGTGCTGACATTTCAGGGACTCCCCATGCCTGCATTCCCACCTGCCTCTCCCTCCTACTTATGCTGCCATAGCCATATCTGCCGGAGCATTGCACTTCATATTGCACTCATCTACCTTTTAGCACTGCCTATAATCTCCCCTACTTTGACTAATTGCATATTTTATTTCCCCTACTTCTCCTGGGGGGTGCTGCCTGGAGCCCTCAATCTATCAAGATGTCCAGCACACCCTGCTACATGTGACGTCGCCTCTACCAATGACGTCCGTGCATCCAGCTCGCCGTTCTGCCTGTGTCATCTTCCATGTATGACCCGCTCCCTGCCTTCTGGCTGCCTGGCGATTGGAGGGAGCGTTGGCACCGGCTTGCCATCTCCCCCCTGCTCCCTGTTTGTGTCTAAGATTTAACTGTATTTCACTCTCCCTGCCGGCCCCTGGAGGATGGGCTCCCCCTTTGAGTCTGGTCCCTCCCAAGATTTCTTCCTTCTAGGGAGTTTTTCCTTGCCACTGTCGCCTATGGCTTACTCACTGGGGGCTTTGGGTGGGGATGCTGTAAAGCGCTTTGAGACGATGTAATGTTGTGATAATGCGCTATACAAAAATAAATTTGTTGTTGTTGTTGTTGTTTGTTATACAATATTTAAGCGAAGCGACCAAGTCCAAATTGAAATCCAAAAGAGGTAGTCATCAGAAGCCCGAAAATCAAACACTAGTAATCACAAACAGGCTAAGACAAGAGCAGCAAAAAGCTTTCACCTCGATGGCTGACTGGATTGTAGCTTTTCTTTCAGGAGACCCCCATACAAGCAGAAGAAGGCCTCGATCTTCGGGCTTCTGTCACACCAGGTGTCCAGGATCACCGCCATGACCGAAGACATCAGCTGTCTTGTGGAGAAGCTTTGTAGTCTCTGCAGCGACCAATGTCCCTGACCTCACTTGGAATGCAGGAGTGCTTCGTGAGCAAAGCTGGATAGTTCAGGTCCAGAAAGTAAAAATCCAGACCAAGATTTTGTTTCAACCAACCAGTTGAGTATAAAAAGTCACATCCACAGAGGACTCAGCTGATTATTTGAAACAAAATCTTGGTCTGGATTTGTACTTTCCGGACCTTAACTTTCCAGCTCTGTTTGTGAGGTATGATTTCATGGGGTCTGATGAGGAGTTAGGACTCTGTGCCTGTGGTTGCCGGGTCAGGCCTCAGCAGAGTAATCACATGTCCGTGGACCCCTGAGCGAGGCCCTTAACCCCCAGCTCCAGGGCACCACATACTGGCTGACCCTGCGCTGTGACCCCCAAGCTATGGGGAGTGAGATGAGGTTGGTGTCATCATTAAGTCGAGAGATTTTCTCCACCAAGCTAAGGAACTGATCCTCTGAGGGGTGAATTTAGGTTATTGCCAGTTAACTATTAACAGAGCAATAAACTAAACTATAGGCATGTTTTGTTCCTCTAAACACAAAAGGTGATGCAACCTCCTACCAGACCTTCAGACGGTGTAGAAAGGCAGCGTTTATTTATCCTAGCTATCCTAGCACTTCACTGTCACTGGAGCCTCCATTTTCAGATGGATCACAATCAATATCATCAGCATCTGCTGGCTCATCAAAGCTGATTTGCTCTGCGTCTTTCGCCAACAAGAAGAGAGGGATGCATTGCAAGGCTTAGGAAGTGTGATTTTGAATACTATGTGATTTTGAGCTTTTATCTCCAGACATCACTTCTTGGTATTTATTTAAATAGGATCTTTACTGATGTCAAGTTGTCTTCTTGATTTGTTGAATTATTTATTTGCTGCCTAACTTTTAGGAGATGTGTTTGGATCGTTGTTGTTGATCTTAACTCTGTGAAATAGGTCACGTTTTGGCAAGCACTCAATCCAGTTGAATCAAATTACAAATTATGCCAATAATTTATTACATACAAAGGTACAACATTTTTATATTGTAGGAAAACTACATACATTTTTTTTGTAGGATATGTATGTAAATTGTCTGTTCATGGCCCAGGATGCTGCAGAAACCCTTTGATTTCACTGGAGAGAGTCCCTCAGGTAAGATGGCTGATCACTGCAATCTCTTCACATCAAACTGTATGTTGCAAGGGCACCAACTGGTGCAGAAAAACAACAGTAGCTTGATTGATTGTACGTACCTGCACTTTTAAGAGAGCAGATGTCATAGTGATATCATAAGGATGTAGCGCATTAAGGAATATCTTGGTAGTTCAAATCCCTGTTGAACCCCTAAACATACACGGAAAGCTTTATTCCCATCAGGAAAACCGATGTCTCACATACACAAACTATACATTACAATGATCCCAGTCAAATACTTGATGGAAGTGATATATCTTATGAGCGAATCGCCTTTGAAAAGGTCTGCTGTATGCAGAGTGCGATGTCACAGCAATCTGTGCTGCAGGTTTCCATCCAAAACGTCCATAAATCCAAGGAGTTTATACTGCAACATATTTGTGAAACAAGCGGTGAATTGGTGATTGAATGTGATGCGGGCATCTCCTCTGCACGCCATTTTCAGCTCAGTTGAAGGCAAATGAAGCAATTTGTCAAAATGCATTATCATGACACAGGATATTGTGGCTCTCGTGCACTTGCCCAGCAGTGCATGCAGTATGAAGAGCAAATCAACTCACTATGAATTCATGAGATGGAAAAGTTATAAATGTGTGCACAATGTGTGGGGATACAGGACTTCAAACCCTCTGATAGATGGTGAAGACAACCCCAGCCAATCAGACTGGTTTGTGACACGGATCAAATAACAAATAAACAAATAAATAAATAAAAGCGACAGAGCACTGGTGTTACTGGGAGGCTTATGGGAAGGAAATGACAACGTTCTAAGATCAGACTCACTGTTATCGATGCAGCATCCTGGATTTAGAGAGCGGTCAGCCTGGGAATGTCTGAGACTATCTTAAAAGGGAAAGTCACATTCATCTCCACCAGGGCACAATGCTGCTTTTACTAATGACCTCCACTGCACTAGCTACTGTCTATTTTAGTCCCTAATAGAGACGGTGCCAAGTAATATGCTGCTTCACCACTTCAGGACGCTTGCTCCCTGTCCTAGGAGCTGGGATGATCGAAAGCGGTCAGCCCCCATGTGAATGTGCAAGGCGAGCTTCCCCTAAACATAAACCTCAGGAATACTTTCCTGCTGCTTGTCCTTAAACATTCGAATAAGAAATGGAGGAAAGGTATCTGAAAAACAGGAGTTAAAAAAGTACATATTAAGAGAGAAATTAAACCAAAATGGACAAAATTTTTTGTCCATTACTGCTACAGAACATCAATTACATGCAGCATTATTTTTAACTGTAGGTGTCAGTGTATCAGTGATAATCCAGAGGCTGTGATTTACATCAGAATGTGCCTTCCATGCAGCAATAGTTCATGTAAATTAAGCATTAGCGATTTTGAAGGACAAATTCAAAACGTGGACTACGGAAGCGGTGCCTGAACGAGGAAACAGCACATCTGGCCCTCCTGCATTACGCTAGCTCATGCACCCCCTGGGCTTGCTGGGGTGGGGAGACACCAGAGGACAGACTTAGCAAACATGTCACAAAGCAGGGTGGGGGCCAATCCGGAATGCATTCATCAATTCCAATCCAAATCATGAAATGGAAATGGAGTTGGAATTTAAATCTCCCTGGAATTCGAACTCAATTCCAATTCTGTTCCCCATAGTTTTTTTCTCCCAATCCCAAGTTCCATTTCCTGATTTGGATTTGAATTGATGAATGCATTCCGGATTGGCCCCCACCCTGTCACAAAGATATCAAACAATCAACCAAATAAAAAAGCTGATAGTAATCGAACATAAACCATTACATTGTAGATTCAACAAGTGCATTAAAAACTATTAAGGCATAATAACATAAAATAACAACATAACTATTAAATATCAACATTCCTCGCCATCATTCCTTGAGGGACTTTACTTCTACAGATGGTGAAAAAAAAGAAGACTTCGGTACGTTTTTTTCTTTTGTTTCTAAATTTTTCTCCTTAGAAAGATTATTATGAAAATGGTGGCGTGTAGGAAGTGTCAGGAGAGACATTACTCTGAGGATATGCAAATACCAAGTACAGGGCAACATTAATGCTTAGTTCATGAGACACAGTTCACGTCATGTGACATATAATACTGGGGCTTCTATACTTTTATAGACAAATAGCCATACAGTACATTGCAGGTGAGGGCTCCTTTTGCACCTTAACTAAGAGGAAATAAAAAGTGGAAACAAACAAGGAAACAAAACATATACAAATTGT